AAAGCTCCCCTCCCTTGCGAGGGCAGGTTTGCATGACCCCCCCCCCCCCCATCGATAGCCAGCAATCCAAAACAGTCCAGTGGCACCTTTAAGACCAAGTTTTATTCAGGTACAAGCTCTCCCTCCGCTGCGAAGACAGATCTGCACGTCCCCCCCATAATAGCTAGCAATGCAAAACAGTCCAGTGGCACCTTTAAGACCGAGTTTTATTCAGGTACAAGCTCTCCCTCCTCTGCGAGGGCAGATCTGCACGTTCCCCCACTTCAATAGCTAGCAATCCGAAACAGTCCAGTGGAGCCTGAGCGGTGGGTGTTGCCTTCTGACACACTTCCGGTGATGCCAGAGGGTGTGGCATATGCAAATAAGTTATGTTAATGAGTTATGCTAATGAGCTCCTGCACCTCTTTTCCTACAATATGACCCCTGCTTCCCTCCAAGGACTAACCAGGGGCCGACCCTGCTTAGCTTCCAAGATCTGATGAGGTCAGGCTAGCCTGGGCCATCCAGGTCAGGGCAGAGACAAAGAAAGGCGGTTTCGCCATTGCCTGCCTCTGCATGGCAACCCTCAACGTCCGGGGGGGGGGGGGTCCTCCCATCCAAGGACTAGCCAGGAACAACCCCTGCTTCGTGTCCAAGTTCCAAGTCAGGCTAAAATTGTGCTGTGTGGGTGCTGCGGCACCCACGGGCACCATGTCGGAGACCCCAGCCGAAGAAATATATAGAACTCTCAAACCCAAGAGGTGTTTTTGTGCTCGAGAGCCGTCATTGGAGAAGCAAATAGGACTGTCTTTGTCATTGGGCTTAGACTTTGCTTTCCACTGTTCTTTTGTTCTAGCGATAGGGAACCAATATCCCAAACCTGCCAACTATTTGACCTCCCTCCCCTATAAGAATGTAAGAAGAGCCCTGCTGGGTCAGACCAGTGAGGGTCCATCCAGTCCAGCCTCCCGTCTCACACAGGGGCCAGCCAGTTCCTCTGGAGGGCCAGCAACAGGGCAGAGAGGCTGAGGCCTTCCTCTGATAAGAACATCAGAAGAGCCCTGCTGGATCAGGTCAGTGGTCCATCTAGTCCAGCCTCCCGTCTCATACAGGGACCAACCAGTTCCTCTGGAGGGCCAACAGGGCACAGAGGCCAAGGCCTTCCCCGATAAGAACATCAGAAGAGCCCTGCTGGATCAGGTCAGTGGTCCATCTAGTCCAGCCTCCCGTCTCATACAGGGACCAACCAGTTCCTCTGGAGGGCCAACAGGGCACAGAGGCCAAGGCCTTCCCCGATAAGAACATCAGAAGAGCCCTGCTGGGTCAGGTCAGTGGTCCATCTAGTCCAGCCTCCCGTCTCACACAGGGGCCAGCCAGTTCCTCTATAGGACTAACGACAGGGCATGGAGGCCGAGGTCTGCCCCTGATGTTGCTGCCTGGCTCTGGGATTCAGAGGCTTAGTGCCTCTGAATGTGGAGGTTCCCCTCAGTCACCATGGCTGGTAGCCACTGATAGACTTCTCCTCCATGAATCTATCTAATCCCCTTTTAAAGCTGTCTACACCTGCGGCCATCACAACCTCCTCTGGCAGTGAATTCCATCTTTTAATCACTCTTTGTGTAAAGTAGTCTTTCCTTTTATCCATCCTGAACCTACACCCATCAGGATGCCCCCGAATTCTAGTATTTTGGAAGAAGGAGACAGATTTTGCTTCGTCAACTTTCTCTACCCAATGCATAATTTTATAAACCTGTATCATGTCTCCCCTTAGTCATCTCACATCAAGCTTCTCTACAACAGACTGTGCCCACAGGCTAGGAAACAAGTACTTCAATATCCCACATTGCAGGCTAGTGATGCTATTGTTTGAGCATGCCTTGTTGTCTAAACGCTACGAACTCTGTCCAAGACTAACATGCTACGATACGCAGAATGACGATACGCTAGTGAAGAACGTAGTGTTTTCAACGCTATAAAGTTCAAGATGGTACCCATATACGTTGCCAGTCACATTACAACTTTCACAAGTTTTCCTTTCCTGCAAGATTTGTTTTCTAACTTCGACACTGTTTTCTTTGCCTTTCGAAGGGCAAAAACTAAGAAATGCTCAGCAGCAAAGGGTGAAGCAGTCCGTAGCTACCTCTTTAGTATTGGATATCTTTGCTTGTAGAAGAAGTAGTAGAAGAACTAGTAGTAGAAGTAGTTGTAGTAGAAGAACAAGTAGAGGAAGTAGAGGAAGAAGTAGGAGTAGGAGAAGTTGAAGAAGTAGGAGTAGGAGAAGTTGAAGAAGTAGGAGTTGAAGAAGTAGAAGAAGTAGGAGTAGAAGAAGTAGGAGTAGAAGAAGTAGGAGTAGGAAAAAAAGTAGAAGTAGAAGAAGATATTGGATTTATAACCTGCCCTTCACTCGGAGTCTCAGAGCGGCTCAGAAACTCCTCTCCCTTCCCCTCCCCACAACAGATACCCTGTGAGGGAGGTGGGGCTGAGAGAGCTCTGACAGAAAGTGCTCTTTTTCAAGGACAGCTCTGACAGAACTACAGCTTGCCCAAGGTCATCCAGCAGCTGCAAGTGGAGGAGTGGGGAATCAAACCCGGTTCTCCCATTTTAGAGTCCACACACTTAACCACTACACCAAACTGGCTAACTAAGGCACTTGTATTTTCTAAATAGGGAAACACCCTAACCAGGATAGTCTCAGGCTAGCCCGATCTCGGAAGCTAAGCAGGGTCGGCCTTGCTTAGTACTTGGATGGGAGACCACTGAGGAACTCCAGGGTCTCTACGCAGAGGCAGGCAAGGGCAAACCACCCCTGAACGTCTCTTGCCTTGAGCTGGATGGCCGAGGCTAGCCCGATCTTGTCAAATCTCAAGAAGCTAAGCAGGGTCAGCCACCAAGAAGTCTAAGGTTGCTCTGCAGAGGCAGGCAAAGGTAAGTCACTTCTGAACGCCTCTTACCTTGAGAATCACACCGGGGCGCCATAAGTCAGCTGTGACCCGATGGCACTTTTCCACCACCAAACAGGAAAACGCTGCAACTGGGTGCTAAGTTATGAGCTATTACAGTTATTCTATGTTGAAGCACTTTATGTTGAAGCACTTTATGTTAAAGCACTTTATGTTAAAGCACTTTATGTTAAAGCACTTTATGTTAAAGCACTTTATGTTAAAGCACTTTATGTTAAAGCACTTTATGTTAAAGCAGTAAAATAAGCTTAGACTAGGAAAGCAGATATTCCATATTGCTCTTCCCCAAAATTGCCTCCAAATCTTTTCCACGGCTGCGGAAAGTTTCTCTTCCCTACCGCCCGCTCGCCTGGAAGCCACTCTTACTCGCCACAGGTGACCAGACGAGACTCATTGTTCTCTGCCATTCCAGCACTAATGAGCAAGTTAAGTGAAACATGTGAGCTCATCGCTTTAGGAGATTTCCAAGGCCCGTCTTAATTCCAGGAAGCCACTCGCTAGCTGAATCACAGCTCTCCTAGCTCTGCCAGCTCAGCAGTGAGTGGTCACAGGATGGGCAAACACCTCCCCCCCAAGCAGAAAGAAAAAGATCCAGATGGAAGCCACAAAAGGAGAAGAGAGATTTCACAAGGATTCCACGGCTACCATGCGCTCTAACCCAGCCAGAGAGAAGCTTACATCAAGAAAGATAAAATTCCAGGGCAAGGCTAGAGAAACAGGCCAAGAATTTCCTCCTTCCTGAGAAAACCGACTGCCCTGCACATGTTCAAAACAGGGTTGCCAACCTCCAGGCGGGGCCTGGAAATCCCCCGCTATCACCGCTGATCT